TCTTGAGAGGGCAAAGCATTAATAAATTTAACACCTTTTTATATAAGAAAAATGATCAAAAATATTCGAGTATTATTAAATTTAAAAAAATGCATCTAGAGAATTTTCAATAGTATTATAATTAATAAAATCTATAATAGATAATAGATGTTATTTTATCCGGCTAGGTCATTCCAAAATTATTAAGTTAATAGTTAGAATAAAAATTATATAGGGGATAAGTGACATAAATACATATTTGCTGACCGGCCTGGTTTCCACCCTTTAACCTCTTATTTATTAAACCAATTTCTCTCAGAATTGGTTAAAATGTGAGAGTATTGAAATAAGGGATTTAGCGTGTTTTATAAAATTATAAATATTTAAATAGATGAGTGATTATTTTTAAGCATGTTTATCATCCAGATAATAATATAAAATATTATCCAGAGACCTGCAGGCCCGGCCCTGGCCGGGCCGTATTTTAAATTTTTTAAATATACCCGGGCCGGGCTTAAAAAATTTTTTTTAAACATATCCGGGCCGGGCCGGGCTTAAGATTGTTAAACCCGGGCCGGGCCTTAAATTTTTTTATAAAAATTTTTACATTATGAGTTAATGGTTATAAGATTATATTATATTATAGTTATGATTAATATAATATTGTGTGATGGTTAACACTACCTAACAACCCACAGATCGATCTAATTATTAATTTCCTGCAAATTTATTCAAAGTATTAATATATTTTTTTATAATTCATATCTAAATTTTTACAACATATTTTACCAAAACAATCAAATAATGGAATATCTTTAATAAGCCCCAATATTCAATTATTATTAATATATTTTTTTATAATTCATATCTAAATTTTTAGAATATATTTTACCAAAACAATCAAATAAAGGATTATCACTTCTTAAAGTTTGTAATTGATTTTACTTAATATAAAGCATTTTTTAATTGAAAAATTTGTTTTACACAAGTATCATTTTATTTCTCTTTTTCTCTGTCCCAAATTCAAGCAATTACGTATGTAGTCAGGGACAGATCGCAAAATGACGGAAAACTATATAAAAGATTATATTAAATTACAAGAGGCTCAGGAAGTATCGACCAGTCAAATTACGACTGTTGTTAAACAAACTGAATCGTTTTATGACAAATGGGGCTATGGTAATTCTGGTAATATGTCAATACCCGATGATAAATATTATAATTACATAAATAATAGATAAAACATTTAAGGTGGATAATTTGTTAGAGTGGTGGGCGGCTCATCAAAGCGAATTTCCAATTTTAGCAAAATTAGCAATTCCTGCTTTAAGTGCAAGCTGTGAGCGGAATTTTTCTACTACTGGTAGAATTCTTGAAGAAAGAAGAAGTAATCTTCAACCTGAAAAGGTAGATATGCTTCTCTTTCTTCATGATAATTTGTGAATTTTTAATATCTTTCTTGAGTATAGGGTTTCGTCAATCATGCTGGTTTTTTACTTTGCAAACTGTCAAATATTTATTGCATTTATTATATTTACCTTGAGTCATGAAAGTTTTTAATCCAACATTTTTCATTATTTTTTTTTACAATATTATATAATACAATTATCTTCTTTTGTTAAAAATTTATAAAAATAAATTATATTAATATTGTGCAATTAGATTATATTTTCAAAATACTATTTATTATACATGCATTTTTTTAAAAAGCGATTTATTTTTTTTTATAAATTAAATAGTAAATTAAATACAATATATTAATATTTTCCATTTTTATAAATTAAATATTAGTTTTATTTTTTTTAAATGCAATATAAAATATAGTATATACTCAAAATATCCATTTTTATAAATAACAGTTTTATAATTTTTATAAATTCAATATAATATTTTCAAAATATTAGCTTTTTTCATGTATTTTTTAAATAATAAGCGATAATACTCGCTGAAAAATATGGTAAAATACCTCATAGGTGAATTTTTGTATATACCAGGTCGAATATAATTTTAAAAAATTCGGAGCCGGGCCTGAAATTTTTTTTTAAAAAATATCCAGGCCGGGCCGTTAAAAAATATCCGGGCCGGGCCTTAAATTTTTAAATCCGGGCCGGGCCCGGGCCGGGACGTGCAACTGGTACCTCTGCAGGTCTCTGATATTATCATTAAATAGATGAGACTGATAAATTTATTGTAATTTTTAATTTATTATATAATTCTTGAGAAATATCTAATAACCAGTTGAAAAACCATACCATGTTTGAACTGGGTCAGATAATTAACTTTCACGTAAGTTCACCAAGGCTCAAATCTGTTACAGCATATTCAAATTTTATTGATTAAAGATTTAGCTACATATTGATATTAAATCTACTAGATATAATACTTTTAAATATTTTCACAAGTTACGGAACATCTTATAACGAAATTTATAAACTGGTAATTTATTTTATCAAGATTTTCGCGAATTTAGGAAAAAGGAATTCCATATTATGATCATTTTCCAGGATGACTTTGTCGATATGATCTGTACCAGAATTATTTATAATATCAATCTCTATTGTAGCCATTTTAAATTATTTTGAAAAATAGAGTGCAGATATTTAAATAAAATTTCAAAATTAAAATAAATATTATGAAATATATCTTAATAATTTTTATGTCTATTTATTATATAAAAGCTCTATTTCTTAAATTAGTTGCGAGCTCCTTGAAAAATACTAAGGAGATTTATAAAATAAATATTATTTTTGATTGATCACAACCTTACTAAAGATACTGAAATCAGGGAAATAACTAAAATCTTCAAATGAGCATTAAAAAGATTTTTTTCGTCCAAAATTTTAAGTAAAAACTTTAAAGATCAACAAATTTTAGGATTATTTTATATAGATCGAAATATCTTTTACAAAAATTAGTGATTTCATCATGGGAGATTTTTTTTTATAAATAAAAATCGCAAAATATCTACTTATATAAGATTATTTACAAAAAAATATTGAAATTTTAGATAAAATTTTGCCAAAAAGTCATGTCCGAGCATTCTCATCCTTTTGATCAAATGTTTAATTCTGATTGAATGCAAAATTAAATTATCAAAATACAGGCCAATTCTTTCACAGGTATGCTTTGTCCTAACTTTATTTTCCCTTTATCCATTTTTTTACCTATGAAATTCTTACTCGAAAATAGCTTTAAATGTGTTTTTTGTGATTCTATTATATCATATCGATAGATTGGATAATTTACTAATTTAAAAAATGATATGTAATTAAGTTTGGCTTAAACTAGTGTACGGCTCAAATTTTAGCAGATTTTTAAAACAGCTAACTCAATATTTCAGCAAGAAAGATATTGTCTAAGCCTCGAGATTTCACCCATTAAACCTTTGTGCCATCAGTCAGAAAAATCTTCCGGCTAGAACATAGTTTTTCGAATAAAATATTAAGTTAGCCGTTTTTAAAAAATCGGCTCAAATCGAGCCGTTTAACAATACTACCTTGGAAGTGGCGTTAATTTAACATTGATTTTTTAAAATACCTTTTTAATTCTTTTTTCTTCCAAGTTATTTGTATCTGAGTAGGAAAATAAAATAATATTCATACATATGAAGTTAGATGAGCGAGTAGAGCGGTTATAAAAATGCTATGTGAACTTACATTAAATCCAAGACAAAATCAAATAGCAATGCTTTAAAAGATGAGGTTAAAATTTTTTAAATAAACCTAATTTGAAAACTATCGTAGATGTCAGTTTGAGATTTGAAATTCGCCCGTAAAAAAAACAAATCTTGATATAAATAAGTAAATTCATCATTTAGTAAAAAAAAATTTTTTTATATTATTATTTGTATATACTCTTTGTTATATAATAATTATTATTAATTTATCAGTGTGAATTTTTAGTTTTGAATCGAATACGATTAATTCATTATTCGATTAGTATATGAATAGGTCTAGTTTGAACAATAAGATGCCATATAAATTGAACTTCTTATTTTTGTTAAGAACGGCTTCGGTTCCTAGAAATTTTAAAAATTGATCCTGGGTCTGACTCCTATATAGTTTAAGAATAAGGTGAAGGGGAGGTACATCGATTTATCCCGTTTCCGCGTAGTTCCGGTATCAAATTCTGATTTTATCTTATTAATATTTTTGATATAAAGTTAATAGATAATCTTCAAAATTTAAATAAAAAAATGTTAATCAATATTTTTACTGAATAAATATCTTTCAAATTCAATTCACACATTATAATTATAAATTTAGTATAATATTAATATAAGTGAAAATTCATATAATATTATTAATAATTTAAGCAAGCGAAAATTTGTGAATTCTTCATCTAAAAGAGTATTATTGGCTTTGCTTTGGCGGCCACTGATCCACTCTCTGCGCATGAGTTTCTGTTTTTGCCATTAATTTTGATGTCCTTTATTTAGCGCCAACGTTATAATTGGGAGCAAAAATAGCCTACGCGCATCCTATGCACAGGATGTTCAATCAGGGGGATTTCGGTCATTGAAAGTATAAAGCTGAGATCAAATTTTCACTTATTTAAATAAATATTATAGCTAATTTATAATTATAACATTTGAATTGAATTTAAAAGATATTTATTAAGTAAAAATTTGTTAAGCATTTTTTTAAAATTTAAAAGAGAAAGCGAAAAATAAGTAGCGTTTAAATTTAATAAATAAAATATAGATAATAGTAAATAAAATTAGCAGATTTAAGCGATCCCATTGTGTCATGGTGAGATTTATTAAATTTACGCTATATAAATGTGCCATTTAATAATTATATAAAATTTTTAAAATAATTGATTTACAAAAAAAAATATAAATAAAAAAATAGAATGTTTTGATTTGCCGAAGAGATTTATAATATTTTAAAATTCAAATAAACTAAAATATAAATCGCATTTATTAATTTTAATATAAAATTTAAAAATAGATTTTTATTTTAAAATTGTAAAAATTAAATATATATATTTTTTTTTTACAAATTATATAAATGATATAATATTATGTGATATAATTGTGATATTTAATAATTTTCAAAAATAAAATGTTGTGAGATTTATGAAGAGCTTCATAATATTTTAAAATAAAAATAGGCTAAAATATAATTGAGAAGCATTTATTAATTTTAAATATAAAAATATTTCACTAATTTTTTTTATAAATAAATTTATAATTGTAAGATTAAATATCAAACTATAATAAATGAAATAAGCCGGTCCGATTTCACTAATTTGATTTTATTCGGGATACACGTATTTAATATATCTTAGTTTTTATTATACCGTTACATAAGTCATTTAAAAAAATATACTACTATCAAATGTTAATTGAAATTATCATTTAGGTCTATTTAGTATTATCATTTGTAAATTGTCTATACATGACCAATAAAAATTATTAGAATTATTTTAAAATAATTTATTAAATTTTAAAATTACATACATTTTAAAAAAAAAATTAATCACTTAAATTATATATATATTTAAATATTAATAAATACAAATTAAGACGCCATTTATCGAATCTAATTGGTAAATTCAATAGTATCGATAGATACAAAACATCGACCCGATCCGATGAAAAATATAGGTATATCCCTGATTATAATTTTTTTTAAAAAAATGAAAATAATTTGATAATATTTTAAAAATAAATATATATTTTTTTAAAAAAAATAAGTATTTGTTTGAAATTTTTTCTATATTTGAAAGACAAAAATAAATATTGGTCCGCTAAAAAAAATAAATAAATCTAATTTATCTATTTGTTCAAGCTATCGATAATCTGCATATCGGATGCCGTGATTTCGAAATCGAATATATTGATATTAGAATCGATCATTGGTTTAGAATAGGCAAAATATTTGAGCATGATCATCAAACCGCGCTGCAGGGCCCACCTTAATAGTATTTGATCGGTGGTTTTAGAGTAGTTTTTACCTAATCGCAACAAAGTTTTGTCCAACAACAAATCCCTGCAAGCCGGTGAATCCAAGGATATCATGGCTTGCACCTGTGCCCCGTGACTATGACAATACTCTACGATATCGTTTCGAAATAGGCGAGGATGAAAACTGATTTGATTTACGGAAGGGGTCATTGAGGCTGGAGGGAATTTTGCGAGATTATCGAAATTGAACATGGTTTCCAATTGGGTTTTGTTAAAATTGGAGACGCCTAAGCTCCTAATTTTGCCTTCCTTAACGGCGACGGCCAGGGATTTCCATATAGCTAGTAATGTTTTCATTTCCTCTGAGTCAGAATTTTTAGGACTAGAATTACTGGGAGGATGAATCACGTAGAGGTCCACGTATTTCAACCTTAACCGGTGCAGGCAATCGTCAATATAGTTCGATGATAAAATATTTGGAGTGTAAACGTCTAATATAATTCCTTTTTTTTACGTATTAAATTAAAATTAAGTAATTCATCGTATAAATAAATGTAATATTATACCTAATTTTGAGATCATAAATATGTCTTCTCTTTTCAATTTGAATTTCGGGAGGAATATTTCTAAGGCCTCTCCAACAATTTCTTCATTTTTATCCGTTCCCGAGTCTAAAAGCAAATAAAAAGACGGATTAAAATTTAGAGAGAAAAAATCGATTGCTGCTAAAAATCTAACGAATACAATACACAATATTACATCCAAGTGGTCAATCAATTGTTTATCGGTCATTGGTTACTTTATTTGAATAGCAGCTGATATAATATGTTATCAAAAGGTTAAAAGCATATTATTAATTTATTCAATATATAGATAGAATTTACGAAAAAGGAAAAGGGATAAAAAAAATGAAAACTACGATGCCACTTTTTGGAGGCCGATCCGATATTTCCGATATTAAATTGATATGAGCCGAATACCGATCCGATATCTTATATAATTTTATGGTTTTATACTTTTTATTAGTATAACATCTATAATTTAACTATACCATAACTTATGTCATTTAAATACATTATAATGATCAGTTATAGTTTATATTCAATTTCAATTCATATATATTATGAAATTTGAAAAATTTTTTAAAATAATATTCAACATTAATATATCAAGGATTTTTTTTTAGAAATACCAAAATTTCCAATTTATTAGAGGTCAGCCTGCGGCGATGGTAACCGTTAATATCACCAGCTTTACTAAAAACAGATTCTATAGAGATTATCGCACACTTTGATAAACAGAATGAGCAAAAAAAAATAACGATATGGCAAGAATGTTATTAATTATTATTATTAAAAATAAATGATTTTAGATATATTTTTAATTGGCCGATAACCTATATTTAAAAAGAGTGATATATCAGCCCGATCCTATCCGTCGGTACATCCCTAAAAATTAGGAAAGAGAAGGGAAGAAAGAAAGCATATATATGGAATATTATTCGATGGAAGAAATAAAACTTATATATTTAGAGCCAGGGATTCGAACCGAACCCAAAATCGGATAAACCCGGGTTTTTGAAAATAATATCTGAACCCGAACCGAACCTGAGCCATTTATATAAAATTTTCAAAGCCCTGAACTGAACCCGGGTTCATTGTTTAAATCAATATAAGATATTTGTATAATTGTAAATACAAATATTAATAATTTACTTGAGATTTTTATAATATTTTCAAATTTCCAATTAAGTAAAGTGTTAATAAATTTTAAACAACTATTCTCAAAGATTCCTATTGGAGTGTTAATAAATTTTAAACAATTAAATTCATTTAAGTCATTTATTTTTAACTTATTATCAATGATTATTAATTAGAGGAAAATGAAAGTGAATAAGGCTAGGTAAAAATTATTATATTGGATATTGTTAATTTAAAGAAATACGTCTAAATAAAAATTTTTTAAATTGATACATGACTATGCTTTGTATTTTTAACTATATTTTTGCCCATAAATAAAATAAAAAAATTATTTTTTATACCAAATTTATATCTAGTTTTTTAATTATGATTTAAATATACATTTTTTTTTATCAATTCAAAAATTCTTCAACCCGAGCTGAACCCGGAACCAAAACCCGGGTTCAAAAATATTTCCCTGAACCGAACCCGAACCGAACCCAACTTTTTTTTTTATACCCCGAACCGAACCCGGTCTAAAATTTTGACGGGTTCGCATCCCTGGTTAGAGCGAATAACGGAGGTAGCAAGTCTTGGTCGTAAGAAAATGGATTCTTTAGGCTAGTCGGTTTTTTCACGAATCCGTTTGTCTAATTCTTTAAAAAAAATAGTTGAGCTTTGCTACCGAAGATGGGGAGATTGGAGCAGGCGATGGGTATCCATAAGAAAGAATGGTCTATGGAACTGTATCTGATGATTTTCCGGGATTCTGCCAGGGCGAGGCCATAGCCGTTATGGTAAGATGGTGCGTTTTTATCAATGCAGGGTGAAGTCCCAAACCAGGAGCTGACCCTTTGGCCAATGAATCAAAGACGTTTCATCAGGACCTCAATTGCGAAACTAGCGATGATCGCAAGGGTAGACATTGCCCCCATTGCCGCTTTTGTCGAGGCCGTTTTCCACGGCACACCAAATGATGATATCATATTAAGTGCCCTCAAATCCGTAGGCATCTTATCTGAACCGATGAAAAATTTCCTGATGGAACGTCCTTGATTCCTCGGTCAAAGGGTCGGCTCCTAGTTTGAGACTTCACCTGCATTGATCCAAATGCATCATCTAACCACAACGTCTCGACCTCGCAGAATCCCGAAAAATTATCAAATACAGTTCCATAGACCCTTTTTTCTTATTCATACCCATCGCCTGCTCCATTCTCACCACCTTCGGTAGCAAAGTTCAAAGTTTTTTTTTAAAGAATTAGGCAAACGGATTCGTGAAAAACCCGATCAGCCTAAGGAATCTCTCTTCTTGCGACAAAGACTTGCTACCGCCATTTTTCGCTCTAACAATCTAAGTTTTATCTCTTCCATCGAATAATCTTCCATGTCAATGCTTTCTTTCTTCCCTTCTCTCTTAGTTTTAATTTTTTTTATCCCTTATCCTTTTTCGTAAATTCTATCTTTATATTTTTCACCTTTATTAATTTTATCTTAGAAAAATTAATCCTATGCTATTACCTTTTGATAACATATATATTATATCAGCTAATGAAAACACTTTATCATGATTTTACAATACAATAACAAAATTTATTGACGCATCTTTCTTGTGATACTAGCTTTTGATAAATTTTATTATATTTGTCACGTGGTGATAATTTATTTTTGGGATTATATTTTGTAGTATGACTGTTGATTGAAATATCAGATAGGCTCATTGATATATTTTCTTGACCACAAAATATAGAGTAGGTTCTTGTCCATCTTCTGCAACATAACTCAGGACAGTATTTATCTAAATTATAAAAAGCTCGTAAAGCCACTATATGCCTACAAGGCAAGAGCATTGTTGAAAGGAACCCACATGAACATTTATCTAAGGATATATGTATAATCATCCCAGTATCATTAATCTCCACAGGTGAGAATATGTTATTATCATGATAAGGAATTTTAATTGATATTATTTCAAGAATTTCCTTAATAATTCTCGTGAAAGCATAGGTTGTTAATAAATCACTGTATTTGCTCTCAGGAGATAATGCATTATATGGAAATAAAGACTGTTTACTATTATTCATTATTGTTTTATGATTTTTTCCAAAGGACAAATTTACAATGGTTGATATATCTTTGAAAAAACTGTTTAATGTTGAAAATTTCGTGATAACCTTTTTATATTTGGTTCATAGATTCACACCTATTATTTGTAGCATTATAAAAATGTGGTGTTGATGAACGGAATCCCAAAACCCATTCTGATCTTATATTATGCCAATTTGTATCATAATATTTTTGCACTTGTGGCAAGTTCATATTTGCAAGCACTATATATAACCTATTATATTCTGACTCTGATCTCGCATATGCCATTTTTTGCAAAACAGTTAAAACTGTAACAACATCCTCTCCTGTTATATTCCTTTTGATGGTTGTTATTTTTCTCCTAAAGCTGCGCATAACATGAAATATATATATCTGTATATTGGCATTAGGAAAGCTTTCAAATAAGACCTGTCTATCAGCTAGGTTCTTATCACCTATAATAACCTTAATTTTGCTTATATCATTATGTATTTTGAGGATATCACAGCAACCTTTTACACAAAAATAGGTTTCACCTTTAACAAGCCAGAGAGCTGCTATTTGGGATTGCCCATGGCTGTCTATATTACAAGTAGAATAAAAAGTGGCATTCCTATAAGAATATATTTTTATTATTATTACATATATATATTAATATTTTAGCATAATATTTAAATCTTTTTTTAAAAAAAAATGCCATAACTAGATTTAAAATATTAAAAAACTAAATTATTAATTTACCTAGATTATTAAGGTTATAAATATTATTTATTGTTTTACCTATATTATTGAATTTATATGTTGCATCAATAAAAAGGACCTCTGGATAGAATTTATGATTGTGGGACATATTTATATCTTGGTAAAATATGCCCATTAGTTGATTATTTTCCTCTAATATTTCAACTATTGCCCCATTATCTTTTAACTGTTGATACACATTAAAAAGTATATTATTTGATGGCTTATTGAGGTAGCTCCCAAAATTGTGGATATCCTTTAAGGTTTGATGCAACATATAAACTCAATAATATAGGTAAAACAATAAATAATATTTATAACCTTAATAATCTAGGTAAAATAATAATTTAGTTTTTTTATATTTTAAATCTAGTTATGGCATTTTTAAAAAAAAGATTTAAATGTAATGCTAAAATATTAATGTAATAATATGAAAATTACAATATTATAGGAATGCCACTCTCTATCCTACTTGTAATAGACAGCCATGGGCAATCCCATATAGCAGCTCTGTGGCTTGTTAAAGGTGAAACCTATTTTTGTGTAAAAGGCTGCTGTGATATCCTGAAAAAACATAATGATATTAATAAAATTAAGGTTATTATAGGTGATAAGGACCTAGCTGATAGACAGGCCTTATTTGAAAGCTTTCCTAATGCCAATATACAGATATATATATTTCATGTTATGCGCAGCTTTAGGAGAGAAATAACAACCCTCAAAAGAAACATAACAGGAGAGGATGTTGTTACTGTTCTAACTGTTTTGCAAAAATTGGTATATGCACGATCAGAGTCAGAATATAATATGTTATATTCTGTAATTACAAATTTGAATTTGCCACAGGTGCAAAAATATTACAATACCAATTGGCATAATATAAGAACAGAATGGGTTTTGGGATTCCGTTCATCAGTACCACATTTTTACAATGCTACAAATAATAGATGTGAGTCAATGAATCAAAAATTCAAAAAAGTTATCACAAAATTTTCAACCTTGAACAGTTTTTTCAAAGATGTATCAGCCATTGTAAATTCTATGGCCTTTGAAAAAAATTATAAAACAATAATGAATAATAGTAAACAATCTTTATTTCCATATAATGCTTTATGTCCTGAGAGCAAATACAGGGATTTATTAACAACCTATGATTTCAAGCGAATTAATGAGGAAATTCTTGAAAGTATATCAATTAAAATTCCTGATCATGATAACAACATATTCTCACCTGAGGAGATTGATTATACCGGAATGATTATACATACATCCTTAGATAAATGTTCATGTGGGTTTCTTTCAACAATGCTCTTGCCCTGTAGGCATATAATGGCTTTACGAGCTTCTTATAATTTAGATAAATACTGTCCTCAGTTATGTAGCAGAAGATGGACAAGAGCCTACTCTATATCTTGTGGTCAGGAAAATATATCAATGAGCCTATCTGATATATCAATAAACAGTCATACTAAAAATTATAATCCCAAGAATAAATTATTTCAACGTGACAAATATAAAAAAATTTATCAAAAACTAGTATCACAGGCTCAATATATATCACATCTACCGCAAGATAAATTTGATTTTATTGATATACAAATTGACATTATTGAAGAATGTATTCAATATGACCATTTATTCTACGTGATACCATCTGATTTGACCTCCTCTCCAAATAATATAGGTATTATTAATATATATATATTATTTTATATTTTTTCATTTTACTTAAATTATTTAAGACCTTGATCATATCCTAATTGAATCTTCCTCAGATAAGGCTTCCTCTCCAAATAATATAGGTATTATTATACATATATTATTATATATTTTTTCATTTTACTTAAATTATTTAAGACCTAGCTCATATCCAAACTGACTCTTCCTCTCAGATAAGGCTTCCTCTCCAAATAATATAGGCATTATTATTATATATATATTATTATATATTTTTTCATTTTACTTAAATTATTTAAGACCTCGCTCATATCCAAACTGAATCTTCCTTAGATAAGGCTTCCTCTCCAAATAATTTAGGTATTATTAATATATATATTACTTTATATTTTTTCATTTTACTTAAATTATTTAAGACCTCGCTCATATCCAAACTGAATCTTCCTTAGATAAGGCTTCCTCTCCAAATAATATAGGTATTATTATTATATATATATTATTATATATTTTTTTATTTTACTTAAATTATTTAAGACCTCACTCATATCCAAACTCACTCTTCCTCAGATAAGGCTTCCTCTCCAAATAATATAGGTATTTTGAAATATATATATAATTTTATAATAATCTTTATTAAAATCCTCAAATTTGGTATAGAAGTATCCAAAATTATCTTAAGTATTTTATCATTTATATTTATATATATATATAAATCTATATAGATCTTGATATGATGACTGACAGAAGCAAACAACAAAAAGAGGAAGAATGTATATAATATACACAATTTGCACTATTAATTATATATATAATATTTATTTTTAATAATGTAGATAAGGAAAATATGGAGATAAAATTAAAGAATATCAAATTGCCGGCTAGGATGAAAAGACAGGGAAGACATAAAAACTCTGATCTTACAGTTATAGGCTTATCAAGAAAATTTGAAAAAAAAAATTGTTAACAATATAGAAAGTACCGATATAGAAATTGGTATTTTATTTTATATGAAATTATTTACATTATTTTATTTGATAGCATACCCACCAAATTCGCAGAAATAATTTATTAATTTCTTATTAAAAGATAAAATAAATTCAAGTATGTATATTTTTTTATTGGCTAAATATTTATATAGATAACCACATTTTACAGGAGTCCTCGCAAAATATACAAGAAACATCTAATAAACTTATCAGTAATTTATTTTTATAAAATATTAATATTTTTTTATCAGAAATTAAACCTAAGGCTTATGTCTTACTATCTCAGAATGAAAAAATTTTGTGGATTATAAAAAAGTTATGTACAATAAAGGCTATAGAATATTTTGGAAACAATATATTAATTTGCAGCTATGATGTCTTAGTTCAAACATCATTCGATATGCGATGCATCGAAAATGTTGATGTAGATATTACTATACTTCAAAAATATTTTACAAAAGAAGCTTGGAAATTACTTTATATTTTATATAAAAATATACTAGCCGAAGCATGGCTATGTGATGGATGCCATATATTGTTAAATGATGATCTTTCAGTCATGTGCAATATATGTCTGAATTGGTATCATTTTAGATGTCAAAATATTAATAAAAAACCAAGAATAAAATATTATTCGTGTACAACATGTCCCTAAATGTTTATAATATTTATGATTTTAAATAAAAATTATGAATTTGACAGATTTTCATTATAAGTATCTAATAAGCTTAAAAGTATTAATTTTTATTTAAATGTATCAATTTTTCTTATTGCCCCCACATTTTCATTATAAGTATCTAATAAGCTTAAAAGTGTCTATTTTTCTTATTGCCCCCACATTTTTATTATAAGTATCTAATAGGCTTAAAAGTATCAATTTTTCTTTAAAAGTATCAATTTTTCTTATTTCCCTCAGAATTTGAATATAAGTATCTAATAAGCTTAAAAGTATCAATTTTTCTTATTGTCACATTTTCATTATAAGTATCTAATAAGCTTAAAAGTATCATTTTTTCTAATTTCTATCAATTTTTCTTTAAAAGTAACAATTTTTCTTATTTCCCCCACATTTCCATTATAAGTATCTAATAAGTTTAAAAGTGTCAATTTTTCTTATTGCCCCCACAGTTTCATTATAAGTATCTAATAGGCTTAAAAGTATCAATTTTTCTTATTGCCCCCACATTTTCATTATAAGTATCTAATAAGCTTAAAAGTATCAATTTTTCTTATTGCCCCCACATTTTCATTATAAGAATCTAATAAGCTTAAAAGTATCAATTTTTCTAATTTCTATCAATTTTTCTTTAAAAGTAACAATTTTTCTTATTTCCCTCAGAATTTGAATATAAGTATCTAATAAGCTTAAAAGTATCAATTTTTCTTATTGTCACATTTTCATTATAAGTATCTAATAAGCTTAAAAGTATCATTTTTTCTAATTTCTATCAATTTTTCTTTAAAAGTAACAATTTTTCTTATTTCCCCCACATTTCCATTATAAGTATCTAATAAGTTTAAAAGTGTCAATTTTTCTTATTGCCCCCACAGTTTCATTATAAGTATCTAATAGGCTTAAAAGTATCAATTTTTCTTATTGCCCCCACATTTTCATTATAAGTATCTAATAAGCTTAAAAGTATCAATTTTTCTTATTGCCCCCACATTTTCATTATAAGAATCTAATAAGCTTAAAAGTATCAATTTTTCTAATTTCTATCAATTTTTCTTTAAAAGTAACAATTTTTCTTATTTCCCCCAGAATTTGATTATAAGTATCTTATAAGCTTAAAAGTATCAATTTTTTATATTGCCCCCAGATTTTAAATATATGTATCTAATAAGCTTAAAAGTATCAATTTTTCTTATTGCCCCTACATTTTCATTATAAGTATCAATTTTTTATTTAAAAGTATCAATTTTTCTTATTGCCCCCACATTTTCATTATAAGTATCTAATAAGCTTAAAAGTATCAATTTTTCTAATTTCTATCAATTTTTCTTTAAAAGTAACAATTTTTCTTATTTCCCCCAGAATTTGAATATAAGAATCTAATAAGCTTAAAAAATCATTTTTTCTTATTGCCCCTACATTTTCATTATTAGTATCTAATAAGCTTAAAAGTATCATTTTTTCTAATTTCTATCAATTTTTCTATAAAAGTAACAATTATTCTTATTTCCCCCAGAATTTGAATATAAGTATCTAATAAGCTTAAAAGTATCAATTTTTATTTAAAAGTATCAATTTTTCTTATTGCCCCCACATTTTCATTATAAGTATCTAATAAGCTTAAAAGTATCAATTTTTCTTATTGCCCCCACATTTTCATTATAAGTATCTAATAAGCTTAAAAGTATCAATTTTTCTTATTTCCCCCACATTTTCATTATAAGTATCTAATAAGCTTAAAAGTATCAATTTTTCTTATTTCCCCCAGAATTTGAATATAAGTATATTATAAGCTTAAAAGTATCAATTTTTTATATTGCCCCCAGATTTTAAATATATGTATCTAATAAGCTTAAAAGTATCAATTTTTCTTATTGCCCCTACATTTTCATTATAAGTATCTAATAAACTTAAAAGTATCAATTTTTCTTATTGCCCCCACATTTTCATTATAAGTACTAATAAGCCTAAAAGTATCAATTTTTCTTATTGCCCCCACATTTTCATTATAAGTATTTAACAAGCTTAAAAGTATCAATTTTTCTTATTGACCCCACATTTTCATTATAAGTATCTAACAATTTTTCTAATTTCTATCAATTTTTCTTATTTCCCCCAGAATTTGAATATAAGTATCTAATAAGCTTAAAAGTATCAATTTTTCTTATTGCCAGATTCTAAATATATGTATCTAATAAGCTTAAAAGTATAAGTTTGGGGGAACCTAGCCACTGCCTCCCTCAAAATCCTTTTCAATATTAATTAAGAAACACAATATCTTTGGGGACATAATGGTTATACTGTTGCCTTGGTTTATTTTCACCTGCCTTACAACTTCTCTTATTATGTTCCCCTTCAGTTTTATGTGCAAGATGTATTAATTAAAAGTACTGAATTCCATAACCATATAATCTTATAATAATAATGTTTTTACCCCATAGACTCATTCAGGGATAAATAATATAAAATTACTTGGTATACAAATAATAATTCTTAACATTTTTTAATAATTGCAATATGGAATCAAGATTATTTTATTTAGTTAATAAAAACCTACAATATTAATAAAATTTAACAAATATAATTCAAATATTCTGAAAAATTAATTATAAATTAAAACTATAATGTACCGAATGCACGATAACCTTCCATTAGAGCAGTTTCAATCAGTTTAAATATTGTGGCCTTATTATCAGCAAGATAGGTACATACTATAAAAGATATTTTATATAAATAATTTCATTGATTAGTTACATCCTAGAATTGGCATAGAATATCCTGAGTTTAACGTAATCGAAATCATGGACATGTTATTTATCCAAGTCTAACCTTAAATTGAATGTCGTAAAAATTCAATGAAAAATTCGTATGGTCATTTCATCGTAAAGTTTCGTTCAATTCTGTGATTGGTTCATTAAAGTGCGGGAAAAGTAATAGTTTATTTTTATTTATAATCATTGTAATGGAAATTAAAACGGTATCAAACAACATCAAAATTCTTCTTGAGAAAAGAATTAATCCCAATATAATTCAAAGTTAACAATCTAGATATAATCAATTTAGTAATGTAATTTTAGAAAACAAAATTACTAATAAAAAATCCAAAAGAGGACATGATATTCTATGTTTTAATGATTTGGAATATACAATGCATAGAGTAATTAATTCCAAATCATATTACCGATGTAGAAAAAGAAGTTGTTTTGGATGGGGTATTTTCCAATCAGTAAGTTCACAAGGATCATACCTTGGAACAATGAAAATCTCCTATTGGTAAGTTTTTTTTATAGATAATTCACTATAACACCTATTATTTAGTCAATAACCTTCTACTTATGTCTGATAGTCAACCAATAACTCAATTCCAATTATCTCAACAAATTATACAACCTTCATTATCAAGTTTCATAAAATATTAGATTTTTAAAATCAATATAGTTTTAGACTATCAGCTAACTCAATCTCATAGCAACGTCCAACATGCAGTCTGCTAATATCATATCAAGTTTCACAAAATAAAATTTCTATAATCAATTATTTATAGGCAATATGTTTACTCAGTCTCAGTTCTTTGTTACAAACTCTCAACCAACTTCAACTAGTATCATCAATTATTATCTTTTTATATTTATTACTTTAGGTAATATGTTTGCTCAATCTCAACGCCTAGTAACACCTAACATGCAACTCTTAATGCCATATCAAGTTTAACAAATTATCAAATTTTATAATCATTTAATTATTAGGCATTATATTACCTCATAGGAATGACTCTAAAAAAACAAATTCCAAATATATCCTAAAAGAAAGAAATTTGGAAAAGCTGACTACACAATATAATAATCATATTATTAATAAATTGGAATTGCTGATAAATCATCGCTTATATTAAATTAGTATACAATTCAAATGTATTTGATAATATTTAATTTATATTTGTTTTATACTTGTTGAATAATTTATATTTACTTTAATCATATTTCTTTGTTTTATTATACATTTTAAATAATAAATATTGTCTTATACATTATAAATAATAAATATTTGTCTTATACATTATAAATAATCTATATTTGAATAATAAAATGCTTCTTAATTTGCTGTAGAAATTGAATCCTATAATAACATAAATAAATACATTTAAAATTACATTTTTACCATTCCAAATGAATTAATAACATTTTTACCTTTCCAAATGAATCAATAACATTTTTACCATTCCAAACCTGTTAAATATAATAAATTATACATTAAAAATTAAATTTTCACCAATACAAATGAATTAATAAGATTTTTACCTTTCCAAATGAATCAATAACATTTTTACCATTCCAAACCTGTTAAATATAATAAATAATACATTAAAAATTAAATTTTTACCATTCCATATGAATTAATAACATTTTTACCTTTCCAAATGAATCAATAAATTTTTACAATTCCAAACCTGTTAAATATAATAAATAATACATTAAAAATTAAATTTTTACCATTCCAAATGAATTAATAACATTTTTATCACTTCAATCTTGTTAATCGCCATTTTGAACGAATTGGACGAGTTGGACGAAAAATACGATGAAGTGTCTTACGATCAAAGGCATCCCCCCCGAAAAATTTAAAAATCATCTGGCGGTAATACTGTCTTAGATAATAACGAGCGATGAATAACGTCAATCAGTTTAAGCAATGACTAGCCGATCCTAATAATCTATTTATGAATAATATAAAAGATGTAAGTTATACACCGATGGCTTAAAAGTCTATTGAATATTTTAAATAAAGCAAGAAATAATATAAATACAAATTCGCTGTTTTATAGGTGATAATTTATGAAATCATTGATGGGCAAAAAGTTATGATGCGTTAATATTACTAACTAACTTGCTCAAACTATAATCTTAAATTAAAAATGTAATGAATTAGCTTTAAGGGCCAAAATAAATATTTAATAATTTTAGCCTTTTGATTTTATGAGATAATAGACATTACAATATTTTTTAAATGTAATAAACCAAGACATATCCATTTTTATGCATAGCACATAAAGCTAAAATTTGCTAATATTTATTCAAAATAAGGTGATAACTTCTAATATATAAATTATCAGTATGATATGAAATATATTAAAATAAACGTTTTAAAAGCCCTTCCGTTTCCATTTTAAAGCAGTAAATTAAACATGTAAAATTATAACATAAAAATGCATTATAAAAAGGTAACATAGTTTGTTAAAAATATTATTTTATAAAATACTAATTTTACATATTAGTATTGCACCCCAAACATGAAAGGAAATTATTATATTTCTTATTTTAATGGCAAAAAATATCTTCCTAATATCTAACTATGCTTTACATGGGTGCAAAATATTATTTATATATTAATTTAGCTGAACATTAAAAAAGGAAACATATTTCCTTTCCTTATCAAATAAAATTTTTACAATTTCATTTTAGAGTCTTGAATAAAGAATTATAATTTAATATATATCGATTCTTATTCGAACTATCTCAGAATAATTATCTTAACATTTTATAGGAAAAAAGAAAAGGACTAAATTTCAGTCTTTCTTTGTTATCGTTTGAAGTATAAATATAGTAAGATATAGAGGAATCTCTATTTAGATCATCTTTTTTCTGATTAAGTCGGAATTGTGTTCCTGAATTTCAGATAATGTCAAACAACTTTAGGTTAATTTTACTATAAATTATGGTATACAAACATTTATAGGAAAAAAATTAATATTCATTCAAGTGTTTGGGGCAAAATTATAATATCATATCAATTTATAAAAGTATAATTCAGTCAGAGAGTAGAATTAAAATATTCGATTTACATATAAGAAAAATAAATAATTAAGAATCAAATTTAAGAAAGCCACGAAAAGAGATCTCTCAGAAAGGCAAGATACTTTTATAAAAATTAGGATATTTTCAATATTTAAGCTATCTTGTTAACTGTTTGGTTTTATTTAATGTTTTATTATTATGGTGCCAAAAATACAAATAATAAAACCATGTATGGATTTCTCAATATAGCTTTATAACTGGGGAATTATTTTTTTGGGTTCATTGGAAATTTATTTTCTATAGTTTGAACATTTTTCAAGTTTAAGGCGAAATGTATCGATTGGCGAGGAAAACTAAATGGGTTTTATTTTCTTACGTATATCAAAATATTATATAACTAAACCTAAAAAATTGGATACCTATCTGATCTGATCTCTTCTCTTCTCTTCTCTTCTCTTCTCTTCTCTTCTCTTCTCTTCTCTTCTCTTCTCTTCTCTTCTCTTCTCTTCTCTTCTCTTCTCTTCTCTTCTTTTCTCTTCTCTTCATGGTATGAAATGTCTACAAATGATCAACCCATCTCTGGTCTAAAAGCTATCAGATTTTTCAAATTTAAAATTGGTCCTCAGTAAATGATACAAAATTGTGAGATTCCTAATTAAAATTGTATCCTATCATTTTTATTATATATGCACTAGAAAATTTTTTATATATTTTTTTTAATATATTCAAATTACATTGAAATTAACAAATTTAAAAATTATAAAAAAGAAAATTATAAAAAAATTATATTATCTGTTTACACTTTATATAATATATATCCATCCGAGACCTGCAGTGGTACCAATTACGAGCCCCGACTTGAATTTATACAAAAAATATTTCGATCCGATCCATGGTGTTTGATTTATTTATATTTTTAGACCCGATCCCGGTTTTATATTTTTATGCCTGGCCCGTTTATCTTAAAAATTGGAATCAAATAAATTTTTAATTTAGTCTGGATATATAAGCATTATGGTTAGATTTTCAGCTAATATAAATTTTTTATATGTTACATGTTTTTAAAATTATCAAAATAATGCTTCTGTAATACTTATTTTTTGGCGAAATCTTATTGGAGTTATAATTTAAACAATAAAATATTCAAAGTATTCTATTAATGTTAATCAACGAAATGAAAATGGTATTTTGTTTATTATGAGATAGGAAATCCAATGGTTATGGAAGCCACTTAGATTGCTTGACATCAATTGGTAGAGCTAGTGTTGTTAAATGGCTCGATTTGAGCCGATTTTTAAGAACATCTAACTCTATGTTTTATGCAGAAATATATTACACAAGCTAAAGATTTTGCTCATAGATGGCCCAAAGGTTTGATCAAAGCAATATTTTTCTGGCTAAAATATTTATTTAGCTTAAAAATTACCTCAAATAGAGCAGTTTAACAACACTAGATGGGGACCTGAAATTTTGCCCGAAGCCCAGTTTAGACCTAAGTTACTTTATATATATGGGTCAAACTCATGTTTGGTTACAATTGTAAATTAACCTAGGAAATTCGTGACACGAGCCATGTAGCAAAGGATAGAATAATGGACAGTCAGATATTTGTATTCTGAAAAGGAGTGTTTTAACGCAACGTGATAGGCCTACCCCAATCCTTCTGCCTATTCGTTTACGGAAGAGTATGATCAGATCAATCATAAATCGGGACTTCCAGGGGATAATAGCACTATTAAAAGAAGGATCAGGTTTTATAAAATGTTAATTTACTATATTTTCTATAACAAATAACTAGATATGAAAGCAGTTATGGCAAGATCTGATGGAGATCTGACAACAAAGCCATCAATCTTGGTAGGTAAAGAAACTTGAGAATGTAAAGTTTACAGTATTTTCAGTCACTATTTTGATCCCTTTCTAATAAAGACATAGAGGTATGAAATATTTAAAAACAAGAGTGGATCGTAACGCATATAGGATCCGAGGAATGATAAAAAATTCAAGAGGAAAAAACGCTTTATGAGAGGGAAGTAGGGAAAAAAATCTACCACCTCTAAATGAGTCAATAGTGTTTTAGAGGAAAAAAGAGATTGCTGTG